AGACACAAAATAACCCAGCAACTCAAATCTCTATTATTCCTTAACTTACATAAATATATGTTGGATTTATTATAGATATCTATCTAACTATCTTTCCACATGATCTGAAATGTATAGTGTTCAAAGCTTGGGGGAATTTTCAACTTGCCTAGTTACTTGGTTTGCACATTACTCTATGAAGATCATTTAATAAAGTATTACAAATCTGGGAATATTTTGCCATCCAATGAAGTCTTTAGTTTTCAAATAGAAATGACCTTTATAACTACCAAGTTAAAAGGATTATACTAAAAAAGTCTTCGTTGCTAAAATAGTGTCTCCAGTGCCTGCTATGTCCTAGATAGAATTTTCTTTTGAGAAAACCACAGCTACTTATTTTCAGTGGCCTCATTCAAACAAACTTACATCATTACAAGACAAGATAAAGGGCACATCGGTGTTCAAAGGTGTGGAATAACTTTTCCTTTCTAGCATTAAATGGTAAGGGCAAATGATTTTTTTTTTCCTTGAGTTTCAAAAATGAGGTCATTTAGGGTTTTGATATTTCAAAGGAAAAAAATTATATTTTCTCTGTTAGACCATTTGGAATCTCTGGGATTCAATATCTCTAAAATTATTTCTAAAACTGAAAATGTCTAAATATCTTCTAAATTTAACGAACATTATACATTTACTGAAAATCCTTTCTGATCACTACTGCTAGAGGAGAAACGAAAATAAAGTTGACCTAAAATGCTACTTCTGTATTTTTATATTCATTAGCGTTGCATTCTCTCTAAACAGATTTTTGATACGTGATGTTTGGTGCAAAGATAAGGCTTTGAAAGGACTACAGTGTGACAGGATCCCTGACATCTTGAAGGCCCTATGTCTCCCGTTCTTTAGAGTGACATTTTTTTTTTTGCAATCACGAGAAAAAGTCTTTCTGGTGCACCATGAGTAGAATACCTCATTAAAAGACTTTTTAATCATGGGGCGCCTGGGTGGCTCAGTCGTTAAGCATCTGCCTTCAGCTCGGGTCATGATCCCAGGGTCCTGAGATCAAGACCCACATCAGGCTCCCTGCTCAGCGGGAAGCCTGCTTTCTCCCTGTCCCACTTCCCCTGCTTGTGTTCCCTCTCTCGCTATGTCTCTCTCTGTCAAATAAAGAAATAAAATCTTAAAAAATAGAGAGAGAGACTTTTTATTTCAATTGTTGTACTATATAAGCAGAAACTGGCAGTATCTTGAAATGTTCTCTCCAACTGAGGGTTCACTCCTTGGAGAACCTGGCTAATGAATATGTAGAAATTCATGATAGAAAAAGTATTGTTTCTAAATAATGACAATACATTTGAACTTTGAACTTCTATTTCCTAGAAAATAAGACATATCCAGTCGATTAAAAAGATTCTTGTTCTCTAACTGGAGAAGGACGTTATTAAGGATTATTTCTATCTATATAAATTATCTTTACCTTGGATTGTATTTTATTACGTATGTTAGTGAGGTAAAGCAGGTAGAAAAGAATTTCAGAGCTTCTGTTAGATTTCTAAGGAGAGCCTCTAATTCCATATTGGTGTCCATATGAGCAAAATTAGGCATTCCCTGAATTTTCTCCTTTTAATCCTTTTGAAGGTCATTGGAAAGAAAAAGCGCTATGATCTCTAAAGAACCGCTAGAATTAAAGATGTAACTATTGTCAAACATTCAAATTCTGGTTCCCAGACAAAAAACTCAGAAAAGGCATTCGTTCTTGATTTTCAGTATAAAACAGCAACTACTGAGCCTCATTGCTTTCCCTATAAGCAGAATTCAACATGGCGGTGGTGAAGTGCATGCTTTACTGAGAACAGGAGGAAACTGCAGGAAGGTAAGGAAAGCAGGATAAGACTGGAAAAGAAGATTAAGTTGAAATGCGGTTTCAGCCTGGAGTCTAGCCTCAGCCTGATCCCATGGGGACTCAGGAGTGTGAACTGTAATACAGAAGTTGCCCACCCGGAAACAACGGACCCTGGGCTCTTATTCTCCTGGATCTTTCCCTTGCTCAGCATGGGTCACCTCCTTCCAAGAATAACTTAGTAGACATCTCCAGCAATGTAGTTCCAGTCCTCTGGAAGTAAATACACTTCCAAAGCTATGTGTGCCTCTAACATCTGTGCTTGGTATCTGCTGAGGGGAGAAAAACAAATGTGAAACACCTAGGCCCCCTGTGTGAATTTTGAAGGCTTAGTCCGAGCACTCACTGCTTGTGTGGGGCTCACAGAAGGAGGGGCTTCCCACGTTCCAAGCAGATGTTATTGATGTCCTACCCAGACCTTCTTTATATTTATTATTTTTTTAAAGATTTTATTTATTTATTTGAGAGAGAGAGAAAGTGAGAGAGAGAACAAGCCGGGGGTGGCAGAGAGGGAGAAGCAGATCCCCACTGAGCAGAGAAATGGATTCAGGGCTAGATCCCGGGACCCTGGGATCATGACCTGAGCTGAAGGCAGACGCTTAACCAACTAAGCCACCCAGGCGCCCCTCAGACCTTCATTTTAGTGCCGCTTCACCCATGTCTACAGGGCTGCTGCAGGTGTGGGCTATAGAGGGCTCATGGCCGCAGGCTTCTCCAGAGGACTGGAGGTATATTTATGTCTGCTATTAGGCATAATTTTCTGGCAGTATAAAATTTTCTTATAACCCTATTTACTGCATACCACAAAAAGCATTATTTCTGAAACTTACCAGTCTAACTTTAAATTTCACTCTCTACAGGTTCTATGGGATACAATGCCAGCAGTGTATATAAGAGCCTGGAAAATGTTACTCTTATGATGAATGTTATCCTTTCCTTTCATTTTTTTCTCATGTTCAATTAGCTCAACATATTTTAGATCAAAAATTTCTAAATTTCTGTACAAAAAAGCTGGAAATAATCATAGGTGTGTTCAAAAATGTATTTACATATGTTCCCTGAAGATCTTTTAAAAGAGTGGAGTATTTGAAATATCCAGTAATAGGAGTTACAAAAATAAACTATGATATGGCTATATGATAGAAAACCACGAAATCATTAAAGGGTATGTCATAGAAGAATATTTAATGACATGGAAAATATTTGCATTAAGTGAAAATAAAGGGTCAAAACACAGATTGTGAATATTATCCTATTTTATGAGAAAGTAATAACTGTGCATAAAAAGACTAGCTATTTAGCTAGTCTTTTTATACCTAGTGTAAAAAGCTATCTTTAGATAGCTTAGATCTCAGTGGCTTAGGTGTTTGAATTATAGGTAATATCTTTGGGATTTGCTTTTCTCATGTTTAGTTCAAAATTTTCCTGTGATAAACCTAGGTTTCTTTTGGAATAAGAAAAAGAGTTATTTAATAAATTATATCAACCTGGGGTGCCTGGGTGGATTAGTTGGTTAAGCATCTGACTCTTGGTTTTGGCTCAGGTCATGATCTTGGAACTGTGGCATCAGGCCCCAAGTTGGGCTCCACCTTAGTGGGGAGTCTGTTTCTCCCTCTTCTGCCCCTCCCCCCACCACTTGCATGCTCACTCTGTCTCTCAAATAAATAAATAAATCTTAAAAATGATAAATTATATCAACTTTAATGGACTTGGGTATTAGGTATAGTTATCTAAACAATTTTCAAGATTTCTTTCCCTCATTCTGATAGTTCTCCATTTTTACTCATCTTTCTCCATGAATTTATCTTCAGAATATTCAAATGAAGTATAAAAATAGCTTATTTCTTTCACTATCTTTAATATTGATGTCATCTTCAATCATTAAACTATGTTTCACTTTTTTGAAAACTAAAAGACTACAAAAAACAAGGTCTACTATGTAGACCATAGAAGTTTTATATTTTTAAATTTCACTTCTAATATTTCTAGTCCCTTCCTTGATTACTCTTTGCATTGTGACACCTAATTTTTAAAAAAATATACCAATTATTTGGAAATATGTATTATATAAGTATACAGCATAAGAGTAGTAGTAAACATTTTATGGCCCATACTACACACTAGGTATTTCTATTAAGGACTTTATGTATTCTACGAAGTCACAAAAGCACTTTGAAAATCCTGCACTCTAAAGACAAAAAATAAAATACTAAATAACGGAGGGAGGAGTCAAGATGGCGGAGAAGTAGCAGGCTGAGACTACTTCAGGTAGCGGGAGATCAGCTAGATAGCTTATCTAAAGATTGCAAACACCTACAAATCCAACGGGAGATCGAAGA